GCACTCCAGTAGCCAAAGTGTGTGTCGTAGAATGCATTTTGTGAATTGGAGCCGCCTCCCAGTTATTGGAGCCGCGTCCCATTTATTGGAGCCTCCTCCAATTTTTTGTAGAGCCGGCTCTTCTAAGTAATTTGAATCTACAACGGCACTTTTCTGCATTTAAGTCTTCCAACTACTTCTAACAGACATATTAAGCTACGGTTATCTATATAAGGAAGGCTCATTTACTGAAGTAGTTACACCACTGGATAATACATTCAAGAGAGCATTCAAGAGCATTCAATAAGCCATTTAAATTCTTCTCTGAGCTTTTACTTTCAACCATCACTACATTCTCTCATCCTAGAACTTGAGCTTCATTAATATTCTGATATTCTCTAGTTGTGAGCTTACACTTGTATATCTATTGAGAGAGATTCTTGTATTTCATTTACAAACTTTGCTACAATCTTGTAAGGGTGTGACCCAAAAGAAGCCTAAGAGAAGGGTGTTCTCCTAGCAAGGAAAAGAAGCAAGGTCTTGCTTCAAATTTGAAGGTTTGCTCTCCACCATTAAGGAGAAGCTCTAGTGAATTTGGGAAGTCTCAAGGGGGATCTTGAGCCGAGGAGTAGGAGTTTCCGAACCTCGCTAGATCACCGAGTTCATTGTTTGCATCTTCCTATCTCTATCTCTTTTATACTTGTGCTTTATATTGCTTGAATTTTTCAATTAATCATTGCATAATAGTTGTTGTAAAATAAATTTCATAAATTGCGAAAATTGGCCATTGACTCTATTCACCCCCCCCCCCCCCCCCCCTCTAGAGTCAATTAGTGGTTAACAGTTGCAACCATTGCCTGTAGCACAGTGGAAATGGGAACATATTGCTATGGATTTTGTGACAGGTCTTCCAAGGTCACGGAGGGGCAAAGAAGCCGTATGGGTCATCGTTGATAGGTTGACCAAGACGGCTCACTTTTTGCCTATTAAGGCAACAGATGATGCAGAGAAACTTGGTGTACTTTATGTGAAGGAGATTGTAAGGTTGCATGAAGTTCCAGTAACCATTGTCTCAGATAGGGATGCCAAGTTCACTTCGAAGTTCTGGGAAGGACTTCAAGCAGCGTTTGGCTCAGCGTTGCACCTGAGTACGGCATTCCATCCACAGACTGATGGCCAGTCGAAGCGTACCATCCAGATCTTGGAGGATATGCATCGGGCATGTGTACTTGATTTGGGTGGTAGTTGGGAAGATCACTTTCCACTTACTGAGTTTGCCTACAACAACAGTTATCAGGCGAGTATCCAGATGGCTCCATTTGAGGCGTTGTATGGTAGACCTTGTAGGTCTCCTGTTTGTTGGACTGAGATGGGTGAAACCGCCGCCTTACGACCCGACATAGTACTCGAGATTACTGAGAAGATTAAGCTGATCAGACAGAGGTTACTTACAGCTCAGAGCTGACAGAAGAGTTATGCGGATAAGCGGAGGCCGTTATCCTTTGAGGTGGGAGACCACGTTTTTCTACGGGTTTCTTTACGGAAAGGATTGATCAGATTTGGGAAAAGTGGCAAGTTGTCGTCACGATTCATTGGACCGTTTGAGATTTTGGACCGAGTAAAAAAGGTTGCCTACAGACTTGCTTTGCCACCACAAATGGACAGAGTCCACAATGCCTTTCATGTATCGATGCTACAGAAGTACGAGCCGGATCCATCTCACATTTTGAGTTGGGTTGATGTGAACATTGATGAGGATGTTTCCTACGAGGAGGGACCAGTTCAGATCCTTGACACATAGCAGAAGGTGTTAAGGAATAAGACGATACCATTGGTGAAAGTTCTTTGGAAACACCACAGAGTTAAGGAGACTACTTGGGAGCTTAAACAGGAGGTTCACTCCAAGTACCCAGCGTTATTTTCTTCCTCAGGTATGTCTTGATTTCGGGGACGAAATCTTTTAAAGTTGGGGAGAATGTAATGTATGTGTCTTATTATAAATATAAGTGCATATGTGTATATATTTTTGTGTGTGTGGTGTAATTTAAAAGTAAAACAAATAGAGAAAAAAAATTTTAAAAAAAAATGGTGGGACCCACCATTAAACCATTTAAGGGCCAAAGAGACCACATATGGTCTCATTTCTCTCTTCTCCCGCTAGTTCACTCTCTCACCCTCTTTCTCTGGATTTTTTCTTTTTCTTCGGCCACAAATCCTTGCACCTTGATTTCTCCCTCATTTCTTAGTGTTTTTAAGTGCCGTTTGCGGCAAATTGAAGCCCACGACGAGGTCTTCAAATCCATAACAACAATTTCAGCTTTTGGCCATTCTAGGGAGTCCAAAAATTGAGACCCATTTTGAGGGTTTGAGGTGAAAATTGGGGGTTTTGCATAAAAGTGAGGTAGGGGTTCCTAATCCATGAGATTATTGCTCCCTTGTGAATTTTTCTTTGTTAATTATAGTTAAACATGCTTAATTTGAGATGAATGCCTCTAAAATAATTTGGTTTTGTATATGGAATTCATGATTATGTGTACATGTGGATTTGTGTGAAAAACATGCTTAAAATGTTGATTTTATATGCTGGTGTATTTGATAACTTGTTAAAACTTACTACATGGAAAGCATGTATACGTGTTAATTTTTCATGCCTATGGTGTTAGTAACTTATTAGAAATTGTTAAATAGAAGCATGTTAAATTGTATAGTAAAAAAAAAGTCTTTCATTTGTCATGGCATTTGAGAAAGTATGTAATGTTCATACATGTCATTGGACATGAAAATGAAGAAAATTATTTTGAAATGAAAAAGGGAATTTTGGGGAAGAAGTTTTGATTAAAATGTTTTATGAAAACCCGGTCGCCGCGGGGGTATCAAAGGGCCGGTGTGTTAATATAGCCTAGAGGGAATTAGGGATATTGCCCTAGCGTGGTTGAGCTAGCTGGGCCCAAAATGACGCCGCGGGGGTACCAAGGGTCAAGGACACTAGCCAATCCTTCTCTCGTGTCGCTGCGGGGTCACCAAATGGCGGGTTATATTAACAATTTGAAAGTGATGGATTTGAATGTTGAAAATAAGAGCAACATCGGCATGCATTGCATTTCATAGCATCATATTGTGTATGCTGAGATTGGATTTAATGTTGTACTTTCCCGACATAGTATGACCCCGATTCCTATTGTCCTATTCCTTGTTTGGATTCACGGGGACACAAGAGGTATGTCTTAGGCACCACCTACTGAGCAATTTTGTTCACCTCTTTTTATTTAACATTTTTTTTTCAAGAAACAGGAAAGAAGTGACGGATGACAATCCCCCGCAAGCTTGAAGAAGATTAGGAGTTGTATTTTGTTATCTTTTGTATCGTAACCCATTTTTTGGTATAGTCTCAAACTATGTAAAAGAGTATTCATTTTTGCAAATCATGGCCCTATAATATACCTAAGATCCTTGATTATTTTTGTTGTAAACTGAGACTATATAAATGCTTAAGTTGAATGGGATGACGATGATGGGCTAACTTGGGAAGGTTGTTGATGTTGTGGTAGTGGAGAATGTATTATATTTCTTTTGTATTGTGTATTGGAGCAAGTTGAATAGGTCTTGAAAGGCCGTTGCATTTTTTTCATTTGTACAGGTTGTTGTAGGACCATTTTTAGCGGAGGTCATGCTAAAAAAAAAAATTTCTAAATGGTATCAGTTTAAGGGTCGTTACATATTCCATAGCTTTATACACCTATTATGGCACATACTTTCTTAAGAGATTTATTTTGGTTTAAATCATTTTGCAAACTGATAGCGAGTACATAAAACTTGAGTGTTATTTTTTGAACCATATATTGGTGAGTTGGAGATGATTTCATACTTTTTAATTAATTAGATGATTTTAGTTTGTGTAACCAAGTTAAGCATATGCATATTGTAATTGAAGAAATTCGTTTCTTTGGAATGTCACATTATAATCCTTGATGAAATTAAATTAAAAGTTCAGAAAAATTTAAGGACATCATAAATCTGAGCATTGTGTCAATTATATTGAATTGCAGAATATGGTATGTATGGGAGCAGAGGTTTCGACACTAGTGATTTGTGGAATACTCTTATTGCAGATGTTTGCTAAAAAAAAAACAAAAGGCCCCCCAACAACACGTTTACAGAAAGTCTTAGTCTGCACAACTAACTAAAGATGGCTGTTCCAGATAAGAGTGATGCATATTGCCAATTCCCTGCTCACATTGGAAGAGGATGAAGAGCCTATAAGGACCAACCAATGCTACACTGGTAAAATAGAGGCCCAAACCTAGTTGTTTGCGAGAATTGTGTTAACGCGATCACTCCAACATTATTGAATTACACACATCTTCTGCTCCTCATATAAGGACTTCAGCGTAGTGCATTGTCTTGTTGCTATGCAGACCGTTGGTAGGCAAAGACTAGAAACAAACTCACAATTTTTCTTTCTTATTTTTTGCATGCTCAAACTTAACGCCTCTCCTCACATTTTATCAGTTGAAAGCACTTACCATTGCACCAACACAATGGTACCATCTGTCGTATTCTACACCACAAAGCTTCTGTTTCAGGATTTCATCTGAACGTCGTAAATGATATTACATTTGCAGCATGGGAGATAAGAGGAATGATGGCAGTGGTGATGTTACATTACTAGGTATCCGATCCTTTGCTATGAAGTCCTAGCAGGACCTCAAGTTTGTGGCTGGCCTTAATATTTGATCAAGAAAAGTTGATAGCTAGTAATGCAAAATTGAAACCTTTCTGTGTTAAGAGTTCTTTTCCAGATTTAAGCAAGAGATCACTACACTAGAAAAAAGAAGCCCAAAAACTGTCACCTATATATGAGACTGACCAAGAACATGATGCCAGATCTATTAAGACGAAAGAGTGAGGTGAGGGTGAAAGCCAATTATAAAAACTTTATGGTTTACCTGAAGAGAGACTTCTGAAATCCAAATCAGCAAGAATCAATAATGAGTAAATATTATAGATAAATACAGTTGGTGTTTAATTGCAAAGTAGGAAACCAGACAATATGCTCATTGTTGTCAACCGAAAAATATTCAGACACACATAACAAAGTCCAGGTTGATGAGATTATAACGACTTCAAAGCAATAGTTACAAACTAAAATGTCAAAGGACAATATTATTTTTTGGACATTTACTAAGAAGCAGCCAACCCTTAAAAGACCAGCACAATCCATTCAGTCTAATACAGGACAATAAAAATAAAACTTTTTATCTAAAGAACTTACTGCTTGTCGGCATCATACTTCAGAGCAGCCCTCTACGTCTTTTGTAGTCGCTAACCGTCAGAGTCAGTGCATGTCTCCTCCCATCATTCTCGGGGACTTGGCATCCAACCGTAGCTTCTATCCTCTGTTTCCTAGCCATGAATCCCGCAACGGCTCCTTGAGGCCCACCAAACTTTTGAAGCGCAGCCAATGAGATAGGAAGCTCAAAATCATGCAGCATATTTGATTCTGTTCCTTGATCTACAGGAGCACTTGTATCCACCAACTTCCCTGCACCAGCTGCAGCTTCCAAGGCTGCTGCTGTAGCTACCATGCCAGTGTGTGTTGTTACACCACCAGCAGCTCCATTACTGTCTGCACCTGCTGATGCAATAGTAGTTTCACCATTTTCTGCCGGGATGGTGTCATCTTCTCCACTTGGCTTCGAAACATAGTAGTTCCTTGACCTAGTCCATCTCCTTGAGAAAGGATCATACCCAGCCTCGCCAGCTTTCAAACTTGTGTTAACTGGTTTCATTTCTGATGCATTTTTGAAATTTTCCACCCTGTTCCTCCTGTTCATTTCCGACAGCCTCAAAGCCTTTTTATCTTTCTCCTGTGTTTGCCGAGATGCCTCCAGTTCCTGCAGTCTTGCCTTGATCCTTGCCACTTCTGCCTCGTCATGCTTACTTTTGGCTACTTCCATCTCCTTCCTCAACCTATCCTTTTCAGCTGCAACATTTAACGGCCTCCATGTGGCAGATTTTTTCTCTTGCAACATCTGCTTCACTGTGGCAGCTGAGTAGACAAAAGTGTTGGTCTTCTGTATCGCCTCCCTCTTTTCCAACACATCCTGTTTGCTTGGCATCCGACCACCACTACGCTCCACCTCCCTGACCCATTGGTCAAACTCTTCTCTGAGTGGAGCGGAGTCTGAAACCATAGCCATCTGCCACCTTGCAGCAGAACTTTCATTGCCCCAAACAACATTCAGATACTTGTATGTGGTTTTATTGTCTAGCTTGTACTGTCGATCAGGGTCTGCGGCATCGACATTCCGGACCATGCAGAGCCTATATATGGGCCCAGATCTGGATTTTCCAATTCCAACCCTCACAAAGCAACCCACAATCAACTCGTCAAAGAAAGGCTCCATAAACCATTTTGCAAGTTTTGACCTTCGAATAGTGATGTCCTTTATCTCCTCAAATGTTGGCACATCTGACTCAGGCGAGGTTTTGTCATCATCACTGTCAACCATTCCACCATCCTCTGTTGAGCCTTCATCTTCACTGTGGGACCCACTTTCACTCTGACTGGAGCTACTTGCACTTGCCACTGCAAAGCCTCTCCGCTTGACTGGAGAAAACCCCCGGCTGCCTGAGCCTCCCCTAGATGCATCCCTTAGTTTCCGGTGAGCTTCCAGATCCTGCTGCTTTAATCGTTTTGCACGCAACTCATTCAGTGCATCATCCTTGGCAGCTGCCCTGTCAGCAGATCTGGCTGAGGAGCGTACACCACGGGATAATGTATGAGTCGGGCTCCTTTTTCTGGGTTGGGTTCTCTTGTCATTATGCTCTCTCATCTTTTTCTGCAAGTTTTTCTGCATGTTTTTGTCAGTTCTCTTTGTCGCGCGCTCCGCCAATATCATCTCTCTTTGAAGCTCTGTCATCTGTGCAAGCTTTTGCCGGTCATCATCATCCTTGTAAAGATCACTCCCCACAGAGTCATTGTCACTATCACCCTCATGATCATAACCACCTCCATCTTCATCACCATCTTCCTGGCTGCTCCGATCATCATCTCTTTCTGTGGGGTCCAGTCTCTTCTTCAAAGGAACTTGAGATCCAGAGGGCTTCCTGCTTGCATAATCACGATCATCATCTGAATCATCATCTTTAGAGTCGCTTCCATCATCTGAATATGAACCTTCACGTCGCCTTCTAGACGATGGAGGTGAATACCGATTCCTCGCAGCTGCACTGGTTCTTCCAGCTGCCTCAAGGAGCAGCTTTTCTAAGTCCGCCATGATCCACTGTGTCAATTATTATGCTGTAACAATTCAAACTTTCTCCTGAATAAATTGAAAGTATCAATTGGTTAGTCCAACAATCAAATCTAGATAATTTCCGGGGAAAAAAAAAAATCAAATCTAGAAAACCTGCACAGGTGGCCCAGTGGATAAGGGGACTCATGGGGTGAACCGTAAACTAGAACATCCTGGATTCGATACTCACAAGGCGCAAAAACACCCAGGTTTAAGTTATATGTATGGTTTGCAGGTAATTGCACATATCCGGAGTTTGCAAACCATCCAAGAGTCCAAAGCGGTTAGCGGGTGGGTTGATTCATCGTGACCCAAAAAAAAACACACACATAGATGGAGCATTTAACATTTCCAAATACAGTTAAAAGCCGCGAATCCCAGATGCCTTTACAGTTATGACTTGTCAGAAAACACAGAGAGAGAGAGAGAGAGAGGTGTTCCTTATTGGTACTTATCTCAATCATACACATCTTATCAAATTACCTAAAACTTTATCAGAAAATATGCATCGTGTTTTGTGTGCTTCAAACATCACTTGAGAGTTTAAGTAAAAATTACACACAGCTACATATTTTAAGCCAAGTGAAGTTTAATATTAAGGTGTCCATATATATGATGATTGGCAATCATACTGTAATAATTGACAAGTACTTTGCAGTCACCATAGTGAGAGTCTTATCAAACGCTGAATGAAGCTATATGTGCAAATATATAGCCATGTTATTTTAGTCATCCAAAATCCCCAAAAGCAGCCTTCATAAAACAGTCTCAAATAACTAAAGAAATCAATGTTTCCACGTAATGACCATATCATTCTAATTCAAAGCTTTTGACAGTGGTTGCTCGATAGAATAACAAATACTCCCCAGAGGACATCACATAAAGGAAAAAGGGAAAGCAAAAAGTAGATCGATGAAGACAATAACACACACAAATAAAAATAAAGATGAAATCCCATTTTTGGGTTTTAACCCCAATTACCCATATAAAAAGTTTAATCAGCAACGTCGAACAAAAATTGTAATTTGAAGCCTTCATAACCACTCAAGAATGATAAACTATACAACATCCATCTTGTCATAAGTATTCCAGAAAGTACACAATTTTCAGGTCAAAAATCATTTTCTCTGCGACGTATTTGTCAGAAAAATTGGATACTAGTTATATGTAACAATATACTGACAACTCAAGGCCAAACCTAAGTACCAACTTTATCCTAATTTCAAATACTTTGAGAACTGGTGCACTGTATATATTCTTCAGGAGTGCACAGTAGGAATTTTGGTTCTTCGACAATATATGCATAGTTTTTTTTTTTTCCATTCAGGGTTTAGTGTAATCTGTGTGTATACCCATCAAATGCAACCCACCATATGCAACACTCAGTAGCTTAACCACATTAACTCTCTTGGAAGCCAGTGCAAACTGACAAAAAAAATTCTAGCTACTGTCATACCACTAACAATGCTACAATGGCATTACAGTAATCAAACGAGCAATTCGTCCTAAAATCCACAAATTTGAGCATAAACCGGTATTTGCCTTCAATTTGAGCATATATGAATTGATGTGAGAGAGAGAAGGCATCCACAAGATAATCAAACAAGCAACATATAATAATTAAAGTTCACTTGCATATATGATGAAAGTACCAAAATAACCAGAAGCCATGATTACTTGAAATTTTTGGGAATTTTTGGGAAGCTAAAAAAATGATGGGGATCTACTTGAACATTTCAATAAAATTGTTCAGCTAATAAATTGTATGGATCAGTTTGGATTACATATGTTTGATGGAAACTTGATGTCACGATCGACAGCCCTGCAACTCATTTTTGCTTATATATTTGGTATTCTTGATTTGCTCTTGGCAGGAAGGTGAGATGGGTTCAAAAGCTTCATTTGCAGATGATATAAAGATTCTAGATAGATGATAAGCAAAAGACATGGGGAGGTAATACGTTTTTCCAGTCCAAATGTAACAAGTTCTACTGACGATAGAGAGATTAAATCTTATCTATGTATGCAAATCTGGCAAATGTGCCATCAAGTCTATGTGAATCGATCACAATGAGATAAAGAGGGGTGAGAGCGAGAGAAGGGGGGACTCGATTTGGCTCAATTTCTAGGGTTTCCTTACTGAAATTTCTAGAGTTTTAAGACCGTTAAATTACAAGGTTTTGAGGACTAACCTTGCAGATATCAGTCGTTGGTGGCTCGTCCTTCGTTGGCCGGAGAGAATCGCCGGCGAGAAGCTTCACCGTCGAGCTGGTTAGGGTTAGGCGAGCACAAATTGAAGAGAGAGACAGAGATAGAGAAAGTATATGAAGACAGAGAATGGAGATTTGTATTATACTTAAGATTTTTATTTAAACAATTAATATAAAAAAATAAACAATAATTTATGCAAATTTACAAACAAAAATGTCATCAATATTGTATGAGTTTTTTTTATATAATTTATTCTGATAAGAAAAATAAATTAAGTACAATTAAAAAATAAAAGGCATTATCGTAATTTAATAAAAAATAATCTAGATTTTGAGACATTTTACAACAAATTGTGATAGTTCTGAATATTACACAAAAAAATATAGTTCAAGAGACAATTTGTAAATTCGGACATAATTAAGAAATATTTTTGCACTTAATTCAAAAAAATATTCATGTCATCTTAGTGGCAAATCCAGAAAATTTTGTGAAGAGGTCGGCTTTTTAATTTGTAAGGACAAATTTATATAATATAAAATGCAAAAAATAAATAATTAAAAAAAATATTCTGGGGACGAATTGTAATTTTAACGGAAATCTTCATAAATTTTTAAAAAATTTAAAAAATAAAATAAAATTTTAATGGGTGTGAATTTTTATTTTAGTGGGGCATTTTCATAAATTCTATAAAAAAAAACTAAGGTATAAAATAAAAATACAGTGGGTCGGGTCTGTGCCTGATCTTACTTTATTTTATTAATTTGTGTGATTGGTTTTAGTTTTAATCTGGAAAAATTAATATAATATTAAAAATCAATCAAAAAACAAGTTAAACATACTCACAATGGTGGGGCTTGGCTGTCACACAAGAGGCCAGTGTTCGAGTCCTCTACCAAGCCTTCTACTTTCGTCGACTAACTTGTTATTGTAGCTATAAGGCCGGCTGCTATATCCCAGTTTGGTGCCCTAGGGGTGGATCTGAAGGACCCTACCTCATGGAGTTTTTTGTTATCAAAAAAAAAAAAAAAATCTGTATCTTTTCCACAACAACTTCCACACCGCCCGACTCACAAGTTAAACTTAGAACAGAGAACACCCTACTACATTTTTATAATTTTCTCTAGCTTGAATTTGCTTACACCACCAAACCCCTTTTCTTCCGATCTTCTTCTTGTTCTGCTTCTTTCTTTTTTCTTTTTTCTTTTTTTTTTTTTTCTTTCATATACCATGAACCATTTGTGCTTTTTAGAGGAAAATTTTGATCCTGCGTTTCTGATAAGAAATAATTCATACTTCAGTCATGACAGGATGGGAATTTCGTTTTGTTTCTCCTTCAGTCTTCTTTCTAAGTGCTATGTCCCATTTAGCCCTTTTGTCCTGGCTATGAATTATTAATAAGTGCAGGTATAACTGCACAGCTCTGATGAGTTCATTCATGATCAATATAAGATTTGTGCATAATGGAAAAGCTGGAGATGAAAACCTTTGTTTCAATAATGGAGATGTCAACCATATTCCTCAGCACTAGTCTCCATCATTCTGCTGTTTGGGTATGGCAGGTATGAAAATAATAATAACAATAATTCTCAAAGTCTTCCGAGTACTGATATTTAATGTAGATGGGTGGTGATGATGGAAACATACTATATATAATAATATTCATGTTTTGCTGATATTCGGAATTTATGTTACAGCCACGAGTCTAAAGACGCTGGTGTAGAATGGTTCCTTGTTACAAAAAAATAAAATAAAATAAAATAAATTTTGCTATATGGTGGTAAACTGTCATTGTTATATACAAATTGAACTGTCTTGAAGTGAAAACTGATTTTACATGCGAGTACATAATTTGTTGGTTCTTTTTTTTTTTTTTTCTTTTTTTTTTTTCGGAAGTTATCGTTGGTTCTATTTTGATGTCACTGACATATGAATATACATACTTGTGCTCTCTCTTTCCAGGATTATCAGATAGAAACCTTAGGATTTGGCCATTACAAGTAGTAACATCTATTGTTCTATAGGAAACGAATGTTTGAAAGAACCATTCTTCATATCATATTTGAGATGCTTGCAAAGATATGCAATCTTCAAGATCACTAGCACATCTGCAGGACATATGAAGAGTTCCTTTCATTCTGATTCTCAGTCTGCTTTCATAAAAACTGTAGATAGGTGCTTCTTCATTGTTTCGGGGTGGTTTAAAAAGGATTCTCTCCTAGTTTTCTTTTGGTCCTGCATGAAGTACTTTTGCATGACCCAATACTGCAAAAGTTTGATGATTGCCATTAAAAAAACAAAAATCTAATTAAAAAGGATGATGATGATGAAACAACCACCAAAAAAAAAATAAGGTGGTCAAAATCAAGTTCACCTTATTTAAATTTGGCAATGATGTGATATAGGAGTATAAATTAATTTTCAGTAGGTAGGAATTAGGATTACAATTGCATTAAGTCATAATTTTCTATGCATATTGGATTTAGTCTTGCAGGTCTGAACACTAAGCTCTCCAAGTATTCCACAATATAAGGAGGTATTGGGCTTATGCATTTGCTCCAACTTCTGTATTGGCTTCTTCCATCTTTCACACAAAAATATGATTTCAAGGCTATTAAGTTCATCTCCTTCTCTCTTTTACCTTCTATTTTACATGAGATTCATCTTATTGGCCGCAAACATCAGAAACAGCATCACTTATGGCTTCACAAATGAGACAGACAAGCAATCCTTTCTAGCCATCAAGGATCAACTTCTTGTGAATCCTTTCGAGGTCCTTAGCTCATGGAATGATTCTTTCCACTTTTGTAGTTGGAAAGGAGTTACATGTAGTCGACGACACCAGAGAGTGACTGCCCTAAACTTGTCTTCCCTTAATTTAGTCGGTTCCATGCCTCCTGACATAGGAAACCTTACCTTCCTTAGAGTGATCAATCTCGAGAACAACAACTTCCATGGCACTATCCCCCAAGAAATTGGCTGATTGTTTCGCCTACAACATCTTTGGCTTTCCAACAACTCATTTCAAGGTGAGTTCCCTCTCAATTTGACTCATTGCTCACACATCAGAGTCATCAAAATTTCTGTAAATAATCTCTCATGAAAAATTCCTAGCGAGTTAGGTTCATTGTCGAATCTCTTTGAACTGCGTATTTCGAAAAACAATTTCACTGGCACAATCCCACCTTCCATTGGGAATCTCACTGCTCTTCACTCACTTGCTCTAAACATTAACAACCTAGAGGGAAACATTCCATTTGAACTTGGACAACTTTACAACTTAGAGGTTCTTAACCTGAATACTAACAATTTGTCCGGTATGTTTCCTACCACATTTTACAATATCTCATCCATCAGTTACATTGCTCTGTCTTTAAACCAATTACATGGAACCCTCCCACCAGATTTGGGATTGACACTCCCAAATTTGCAAACATTTCTAATCGGAGCCAACCAATTCTATGGGCCAATTCCACCATCAATAGCCAACGCTTCTGGACTCATACAATTTGAGATTGCCAGGAATGCCTTCATTGGTCCTGTGCCATTGAATTTGGGAAGCCTTCATGATCTAGAATGGCTAAACTTTAATGGTAACCCACTCGGAACTAGGAAAGCCAATGAGTTGAGCTTCTTGAACTCTATAACCAACTGTACAAATCTAAGAACACTATATTTGGATGGTAATGGTTTCGGGGGTGTTTTGCCAGATTCAGTAGCAAATCTATCCACTAGACTCATCACACTGACGATGGATTTGAACTACATATCTGGAAACATACCAGAAGGAATTGGGAACCTTGTCAACTTACAGACTCTTGCACTTTATGACAACATGCTCACAGGAAGCATTCCTGAATCCATTGGAAAACTTTTTGAGCTGAACAGAATATACATTTCCACAAATAACATCTCAGGAAAAATTCCGTCTTCAATTGGCAACATTTCACAATTAAGTATTCTAGACATGGCACGAAATATGATAGAGGGGAGCATACCTGTTTCTTTGGGTAATTGCACAAAACTGCAAGGATTGGATCTCGGATACAATCACCTCATGGGGACAATACCTGGAAAACTTCTTGGCCTTTCTTCCCTTTCAGTTGTTCTCTTCTTAGATCATAATCATTTAACTGGACCACTACCGGCACAAGTGGGGAGCTTGAAAAATTTAGGACAACTGCAGATTGGAGGAAATGAACTCTCGGGAGAAATCCCAACCACACTTGGTGATTGTCAAGTGTTGGAATTCCTACGTATGGAGGGTAACTCTTTCGAAGGTAATATTCCATCATCTTTCCAGAAATTAAAAGGTATTCGAATCCTAGATCTTTCTCGCAATAATTTGTCTGGGCAGATTCCAAGGTTTCTGAGTGAGTTCCCATTCATTCAAAATCTCAACCTTTCCTATAATATGTTTGAGGGTGAAGTTCCATCTGAAGGAGTGTTTAGGAATGTGAGTGCATTTTCAATTGTGGGAAACAACAGGCTTTGCGGAGGAATTGAAGCACTGCAATTGCCTGCATGTCCTGTGGAAGTCTCAAAGAAAGAAAGGAAGCCCTCTGCTCGTATACTGATAATTGTCATAATCAGTATCACTCTCTCTATTGCTTCCTTAATAGCATGTGTTCACGCTATTTTTTATCCTATGAAAAGGTTGAGAAGAATAAAATCCTATCCAAATCCATTGGGAAATCAGCATCCAACAGTCACTTATGCAGAACTTCTACAAGCTACCAATGGATTCTCTTCAGCCAACTTGATTGGTGAGGGGAGGTTCGGTTCTGTTTATAAAGGAATTCTCAATCCTAGTGAACATATCATTGCTGTGAAGGTACTCAACCTTCAAGAATATGGAGCCAACAAGAGTTTCTTGGCTGAATGCCAAGCATTGAAGAACATTCGTCATCGCAATCTTGTAAAGATTATCACATCTTGCTCAAGCATAGATTATAATGGAAATCATTTCAAGGCTTTGGTGTTTGAGTTCATGCCAAATGGGAGTTTGGAGAGCTGGCTACACCCAAAGCAAGAGAATCCAAGTTCGTCTGTCGTGCTGAACTCAAAGAAACTGAACCTAATCCAAAGGTTAAACATTGCCATCGATGTGGGCTCTGCATTGGATTATCTTCACCATCATTGTGGAACACCCATCATTCATTGTGATCTAAAGCCAAGCAATGTCCTCCTTGACAACGAGCTCTGTGCCCATGTGGGTGATTTTGGTTTGGCAAGGTTTCTCACAACCACCAAAGAAAAATCTGATCATACACAATCTACTTCATCAATTGGTGTTGGAGGAACTATTGGTTATGTAGCACCTGGTAATATACTTTCATAAACTTTTTAATTTATCTTTTTTAGATACTATCTCATTTAAATCAATTAAGAAAATTTCTCTTTAGTTTGAATTTTTTGTTCTTTAAAACTTTATGTAAATCATTTTGAACCTCATACTGGTGATTTGTAGATGACTTCCTTTAGCATAACTTGCATAACCAAGCTGAGCATATCAAAATTGAAGGACAAATCAAATTTGAGTATTTTTGTTTATTGTTTCGAATTGCAGAATATACTATGAGTGCGGAGGTTTCAAGACGAGGTGATATGTACAGCTATGGAATCCTCTTGCTCGAAATGTTTACTGGAAAAAGGCCCACAGATGACATGTTTACAGAAAATTTTAACCTTCATAACTATGCTAAGATGTCACTTGAGGGCAAAATGATGGACATTTCCAATTCCTTACTCACATTGGAAAGGGAAGATGTGTCTAAAAGCACTAACCAGCAGAACATTGGTAGAATGAAGGAGTGCTTGGTGTCTGTTCTTCGACTTGGAGTCGTGTGTTCTTCTGAATTGCCGAGAGCGAGGATGGATGTCGGAGATGTTCTCATGGAACTCCACATGATTAAAAATGTACTTTTGGGGGATGGAAGAGACTAGACAGAAAGAGAGAGTGAAAGAAAAATATGGAAGTAGGTGCTTTTTAGTCACTGAGAGTCTCAGACATTTGTATTTCATGTGATGTTTACAATAATGTGGGAAATCTGAAAGTCCTATGAAATTTGATTATTTATTATTCATTATTTTTATTTTTTGACAATTGATAATCTCATTTTATTTAGAGCCGTGCTTACATTTTCCGCCAAAGAAATTTCATTGTTGCTCCGGTTAAGGATGTACTTTTGAGGAAGAACTAATTCTCAAGGATACAGGGGATATTTTAGTAGCTTATTTCATATGTTTCCTGAAGAATTGCAAGTGCTGCAGAAGACTGTACTAGTTTAAGAAGCTCATGAATTTTCAATTTTCCCATTTCGTTTATATATGATGGCGAAAATATGATACCACTTCAAAAGAAGATTAACTGTATTCAATCTTAGCTGTTCAAAATAATTCCACTCCTAACATATCCTTGCTTGTATAGAGGGATGGTTCTATCCTCACCAAAACAATATGTTATGCTAATTTAGAGAGAGAGAGAGAGTCAATGCTAATAAACATTGTAAAAGTGAGAGATTTCTTCAGATGTCACCAAGCCATATCACACTTAAAATTGTAGCAATTAAACAATTTCACAAGTTGGTCCAATGGATATTCTACAGAGTCACATCAAGCTTACCTGATGATTTTTATGTACATACATATATTCTTTGTCAGGTCAATGACTTAATTTTCCAAGTATTCATATTGGAGGGAAGAATTTTTCTGTTAACAAATTGTATTATATGATTCTTACACCTAATAACAATTATTAATATGGATTTGTCATCCCCCACAAATTCCAGGATCAATATTTAATAATTAAGGGACAAACAAGCGTGAGGACAATGGTTTCAATTGTTGGGTTACTTCTTGATTATAACCTACCAGGAAGTCAGGAACAGTGCAGGTGACTTCAGTTTTCTAGCTTCCTTGTACACAAATCTAATAATATTGGTTTTATATAAATTCGACTTTTAAAATTATCTTACCTATGTGTTTTCTCTCTATTTCCATTTCAAATATCTTTATCAACGTCACATTTGAAAAAAATAAATAAATAAATAAAAAACCCTAGCTACTTTGTCAGTTAAAACTAGAACAGAACATGACCATTAATTTTATTGAAGTGTCACATTGTAAATAAAATAAAAAAGAAAGGTAGGAAAGTTTGTTCACCGCAATTGTTGAATGTCAAATCATTGTTATATTTAACATTTTTTTTTTTTTTGTATAATTTAATTAAATATACCTATGTTAACGTCAAACTTCCCAAAAAGTCATGCCTGTAGTCAAAGTAAAACACTTAAGTCTCAGTGCTTTTTCATAAAAGCTTGAATTGTGCCACTAACTTTACATTGAAATGATACAGAGGTAAGGATAATACTAGTCTCAACAAAAATTGAATAAGAACAAAAATTGGAGTAGTAACTTTGCTGATTACCACCAAAAGAAGAAAAATTGAAAGTGACAAAGAAGAACAGAAGAAGAAAATGGTGGTCTACATCAAGTTCACATGTTGACTCAACCCCATGAACCCATTATAAGGGCCCACGTTTGGGATTAAACATATTGAGCAAATGTCAATGAATATGATGAAATCAAATGAAGTATTATTTATATATTCTCCACTTGATTCCACGAAATCTCCACAAGGCTCACAAGTCAAATCTCTAGTTTATTTATCCTGTAATGTGTGAATAAATCTAGTCACCTCCACCAACCATTATGGTTTATCTAATGAATTTTCAGCAGCTATGGTTACAACTGCACTATTTCATGCTTTTCTATTAACAAATGTTTTCACACTGCAGGTCCCAATAGTCCAATATATGGAAGGATTGGCTAATGCATTTGATCCAACTTACCTTATCCTCTCTGCTCTCAGCTTCCTTCATCTTTCAATAAGAATGGAGCACAAAAATATGATTTCTTACATCCTATTTCATATGATCCTCGTTTTGACGTGCTCGAATGCCACAACTGGTGCTACTTTTGGCTTCACAAGTGAGACAGACAAGCAGGCCTTGCTAGCCATCAAGGATCAAATTGTTGAGGACCCTTTCGAGGTCCTTAGCTCGTGGAATGATTCTGTTGACTTCTGTAACTGGCAAGGAGTTACTTGTAGTCGTCAGCATCAGAGAGTGACGGTCCTAGACTTGTCGTCCCTACAATTAGTCGGTTCTATGTCTCCTCACATAGGAAATCTTACCTTCCTTGGGGAGATCCATCTCGAGAACAACAGCTTCCATGGCACAATCCCCCAAGAAATTGGTCGTTTGTTTCGCCTACAACATCTTTCGCTTTACAGCAACTCCTTCCAAGGTGAGTTCCCTATCAATTTGACTCATTGCTCAGACATCAGAGTCATCAACATTTCTTCAAACAATCTTGTAGGAAAAATTCCTAGCAAACTAGGATCATTGTCTAATCTTTTAGTACTGCGGCTTTCTAGGAATCATTTCAGTGGCAGCATACCACCTTCACTGGGCAATCTCTCCTCTCTTCGCGTACTTTTTCTTAGCTTTAACAATCTAGAGGGTAGCATTCCTTTCGAACTTGGGAAGCTTTCCAACTTACAGTTTCTTCAGTTTGCTTCTAACAATTTGTCCGGAATGGTTCCTAGTTCGCTTTACAATACTTCAACTTTGAATCAATTTGCATTAGCTGGCAACCAGTTAAATGGAAGTCTCCCTCCAGAACTGGGAAACACCCTTCCAAAATTACAAACATTTTTGTTTGGTGACAACCAATTCTCTGGTCCTATTCCACTATCATTGGCTAATGCTTCAGCACTTGTTGATTTTGATATTGCTGCTAATTTTTTTAGTGGAACTTTACCAAAGAATTTGGGTGGCCTTCATGATCTAGTATGGCTAAGCTTGAATGATAACCATCTTGGAACTAAAAAAGCCAATGACTTGAGCTTCCTTGATTCCTTAACTAATTGTACAAATCTAGAAGTGCTGACTTTAGGTGGGAATCATTTTGGGGGTGTACCGCCGGATTCAATCGCAAATCTGTCCACCAAACTCACCTCACTGTGGTTGAATCTGAACTACATATCTGGAAGTATACCACAGGGAATAGGGAACCTCATCAACTTAGAATTTCTAGCATTGGATGAGAATATGCTCACTGGTAGCATTCCTGATTCCATTGGGAAAATTTCCAATATGCAAGAACTGTACATTTCCACTAATAATATCTCAGGAAAAATTCCACCATCAATTGGCAATATGTCTCAGTTGAGTATTCTTGCATTAGGTCAAAATATGCTAGAGGGAAGCATCCCTGTTTCTTTGGGTAATTGCACAAGGCTAGAAGCATTGGATCTTCAACAGAATCACCTCACTGGTGCGATACCCGAGCAAGTTATTGGCCTTTCTTCCCTCACAATTCTTCTCTCCTTAAATCAAAATCATTTGACAGGATCACTACCAACACAAGTGGGTAACTTGAAAAATCTTGGACAATTGTATATTTCGGAAAACCAACTTTCTGGAGAAATCCCAAGCTCTCTTGGTGATTGTGTGTTGTTAGAAACCCTTTCTATGCATCATAACCTTTTTGAAGGAACTATTCCATCATCTTTCATGCAATTAAAGGGTATCCAAGTCCTTGACCTTTCTCACAATCATTTGTCTGGGCAGATTCCAAGGTTTCTAAGCAGCTTATCAGTAATTCAGAATCTCAACCTTTCCTATAATATGTTCGAGGGTGAAGTTCCGAATGAAGGGGTTTTTAGGAATGTGAGCGCACTTTCAGTGGTCGGAAATAACAAGATTTGTGGAGGAATCAAGGCATTGCAATTGCCTGCATGTCCCATGGAAGTCCAAGAAAAAGAAAGAAAGTACTCTGCTAAGAAAATGATAATTCTTGTGACCACTATCACCCTTTCCATTATTTTGTTAATTGCATCTGTTTGTGCTATTCTTTATCTTATCAGAAAAAGGTCAAAAGGAAAACCCTCTTCAGATTATGAATTGGGAAATCAGTATCCAATCCTCTCCTATGCAGAACTTCTTCAAGCTACTGATGGATTCTATTCGACAAACCTGATTGGTAAAGGGCGATATGGTTCTGTTTATAAAGGAATTCTCAATGATGGTGAGCAAGTAGTAGCTGTGAAGGTACTCAACCTTCAAGAACATGGAGCCAACAAGAGTTTCTTAGCTGAATGTGAAGCATTGAGGAACATTCGCCACCGCAATCTTCTCAAGATCATCACATCTTGCTCAAGCATAGACTTTAAAGGAAATGATTTCAAGGCTTTGGTCTTTGATTTCATGCCGAATGGAAGTTTAGACAATTGGTTACATCCGACTTCATGTGAACAGGAGAACAAGTACTTGGATCTAGTTCAAAGGCTGAACATTGCCATTGATGTGGCCTCTGCATTGGATTATCTTCATCATCATTGCGAAACAACAATCATTCACTGTGATCTAAAGCCAAGTAATATTCTTCTTGATGATCAGCTCTGTGCCCATGTAGGTGATTTTGGTGTGTCAAAGTTTCTTTTGGCTACCAAAGATGAGTCAGATCATGCACAATCTAGTTCTTCCATTGCGATTAGAGGAACAATTGGTTATGTTGCACCAGGTAATCTACTGTCATATATTTTTTCCTTGGTTTCATTCCTTTTAGTAATACTGTCCAATTTCAATTTACAAAGGAATTTGTCTAATTTATGAGTAATTATCTTGGTGCTTTGGACAAGAATCCATTTTGCATAACCAAGTTGAGCATATTAAAATTATGTGTTTCACTGCTTTACAGTTTCAGAATATAAACCTTGAAAATAATTTAGAATTTTAGATGTTAGAAAATATCAAAGTACTTCACTAATTTGAGCATCGTGTTAATTGATTCAAATTACAGAATATGGTATGGGTGCGGAGGTTTCAACAGAAGGCGATGTGTACAGCTATGGAATTCTCTTACTGGAGTTGTTCACAGGAAAAAGGCCCACCGACATGTTGACACACAATTTTAGCCTTCATGACTTCGTAAAGATGGCACTTCCAGATAGAGTGATGGAGATTGCTGACTCCCTACTCACATTGGAAGAGGAAGATGCAAGTGAAAAGACCAGCCAGAAAAAAATGGTGAGAATGAGGGAGTGCTTGGTGTCAATCCTTCGGAAAGGAGTCATCTGTTCTTCTGAATTGCCAAGAGAAAGGATGGATACTGGGGATGTTCTCATGGAACTCCACAATATTAGAAATGCATTTCTTGGGAATGATTGGAAGGAAGAGAGTGTATGTGTGTGATTGTGTGTGAGAGTGAGAGAGATGGAAGAACCACTTCCTAGTCGATGACACATTTGTATAGTTCATGTGATGTTTAGAATAATGTCTGAAAGTAAGCATTTTACCATATGAACTTTAATTGTTATTATTTTATTTTATTTTCTCCAAAGGTTGAGCAATGTATAAATGAAAAATAAGAAACTGTACAGTGCGCCACAAAAGAAATAAATATTGAGAGTAAGCTTTGCAAAAGCTGAAATAGACATCAAAAGAAATAAATCAGTTTCGAACCACAAACCTTTGAGAATTCGTTTTCAACACATACGTGTGTTTGTACATAGATGTGATACGCTTCATCACAATGCCTCGTATGAATTCAAACAATTGCCTTCAATAGAAAAAGCTCATGGTGGTTGACTTCGACTTCGTTTATTTTGCTACACATTCATTTTTCATATATTCTTGACATGTATGAGGGATCAATTTGGTGTCAATGGTTTGTCATTTTATCACAATGCCTTCTATGAATTCAAACAATTGCCTTCAATAGAAAAAGCTCACGCTGTTTTCAGCCGGTTGGTGGTTGACTTCGACTTCGTTTATTTTGCTACACATTCATTTTTCATATATTCTTGACATGTATGTGGGATCAATTTGGTGGCAGTGGTTTGTCATTTTTAGCCATATTGGTTAGTGTGAGTTTTAGCTTTTGCATTTTGGAATTGGTTTTTAAGCCTAATTTCTTTGCATTTTATTGATATACGTGTCCTTAAAGTTGGGGTGTGACAACTAAATATGGAAGGAAGGGAATAACAAATACACAAAGTACATGAATATTACTTATTAAGGGTAAAGTGCATTTAACCCCCTTAACTTTCACCATTTTGTAGTAAACCCCCTTTACTATTTTTTTAGCTCTAAAAATCTTCTTTTTTTTTCTTTTTTTTTTTTTTTGTTCAACCTTTTTTTTTTTTTTTCTTTTTCTTTCTTGAATAATAATATTTGAACTTATATTTTCCGTTGCATACATCACCATACTTTTAATTAAAGAAAAATATTAAAAAAAGTAAAATTCTTAGTTATGAGTGCAACTACATGCTATTTATTTAGTATATGTCTAGCATAGTTAGATCTTGTAATATCTTTTTTATCTATTAAAAAATATAGAAAAGCCTATTATTTTATCTCATTCAATTACAATTACTTTTTGGAATTAAAATTCATTTTTTTCGATCTAATTTTTTGATCAAATGTCCATCTCATATACTTATATTTATATATATATATATATATATATATATATAAAGAATAAATATTTAAGATTTTAACTTATATGTTGTTGCACTCGTAATTATAAATTTTACTTGTTTAATTTTATAAGTTTTTCTTTAATTAAAAATATAATGATTCATACTCCCTCCGTCCCAATTTAAGTGCAGTTTTTGGAGAGTAGTAATTTTTAGGAGACATGTGGGACATGCATTGTTTTCCTAAAAAGTTACTAAATTGCCCTTTTGTAACGACCCGAACACGAGAGTTCGATTCATCAACCGGGTCCTTACCCGAACCCGAGGTCAACTAAGACAATACCATCATACCCAAGGTCAATACATCATTACTAATTAAAATGTACATATTTCTTTTACATAATTTTCAATGAATTTAAATACATAAACGAGACCGACATGGCCGTACATACAACCTTATAACATTATAGAGATTTTTAGCATCGCCTAAATCCGTGAATATAAGTTTTACGCCATTTCTCCTCCGGTTCCCTGAAAATATTAAGATAAGGGGTGAGCTCAACAGCTCAGTAAGTAATGCCTAAAACACCGATTTTGGATTCCCTTTAGCCAACAACCAAAGAACGTAAAAAGAAAAGAAGCCGAGGTCATACAATTGGAGTCCGTACAACATTTATAATATAACAATCAATACACGGAGTCACATAACACCATTCTTCAAAATCATGCACATGATATGAAGTGTGATGCAACCCATCCCAAACTTGGTCTATACCGATCCAACACTCACTTTTCGAAAACCCGCTAAATGACTTTACCGAATCAAGATTGATAGCTATCCCCGGTTCTAATTCTGGCAACCGTTAAAGGACCTAGTATCAACTTTTTCACATCATACACCGGGTCGCGCTCCCTCTAAGTTAAGCTAGCTCCGGACTCGCAAAACCCAATTCATTTCTAAATCATTTCCACATAATCCTTTCCAAAGATATTTCTAAAAAAAAATTATTTCAACCTCACTTTCCCAAACAATGTCCATTCCATGAATGAAATTGACATACATATGCTTGCATTTATCAATTTAGCCATACATACTCATTATCGTCATCATTTATATATATATAACCTCAAGAAAACATTTCAACGTAAGGCATGCTCTTTAAATACCTTTGCAACCAAGCACACACACACACACATATATACACACAATCAACATCATCTAAAGCATGTTTTGCCACAAAAATACATAAACACATAATTAACATTTAAAATTCCAAATTTATCATTTTTAATCATGCTTAACAAGAAATCAAGTAAACGAACTCAACTAAAGTCAAAACTTAATGGTTTAGACATCCCTGCCTCAAAAGTAGCCAAAATGCATCCCCGGCCAGAAAAGTCAACGCCGGTCAATTGCGGCGGAAAGAAAAACTGTTCGATGGGAATATAACCGACGACGAGGAGATTCTACTGTTCCAAAGGCTCGGCTCCGGAATCCGACTCGAAGTGGCCCAAAACCCTCTCTGAAGTCTTAGATCCAAAATTTTCAAAAATTCGTAAAATAATTACCACTCCTCCAAAAATTAAATCCTTTAACCATACAATAGAAAAAGATGAGAGGAACATTTTTCGTTAAGGAACTAAGACCGGAAACCCCACCGATTAGCCAAAAAATGGAGGAGAAATTTGAAACTTAAAATAAAATGAATTACAGTGAAGGAGAGAGAGATTCTGTGAGAAGAAAATGTAACGACCCAAAAAGATACCATAATAATAATAATATAAAATTTCAGCATGACCTCCGCAGAAAAAGTCCCTCTACGACCTGTTAAAATACATAAAAAAGCAATGCCCTTACTGGCCTTAAAACTAATCCAACACACAATGCAAATAATATACCATATTTCCAATGTAACTACATACATATAAAAAGGTTCGGTTCCTCCATCATATCCAAACAAGGAATCACCAATTCACTACCTAGTCCCATAATCCTTTATAAGGAACGCACTTTAAATACATCAAGTTACAATCCATGAAATATAGCTAAATTTTAAAGGGCCATAACTTAAAACATTATACTAATTAAACTAAAGTTTCACAAAATAGTTAAAATTACATTTACAAAATAATAAAGTTCTAATACAAAAGATAGCAAAATAAGTAGATCTTTAATCCTGTCTAAACTTGTGGTGGATCATCGTCCGTCACCACTTTTCCGTGACCTGAAAATGTTAATATAAATGAGCGAGCAAATGGCTCAGTAGGTGGTGCCTAAGACACACCTCTTGTGACCCCGTGAATCCAAACAATGAATATGAACAAGGGAAAGCGGGATCATGCCATGCTAGGAAAAATACAACACAATTTCAAGGTCATAGATAAACAATGTCGTGTCATGGAATGCAATGCCATGCTATGTCGCTCCCCATTTAAAAATTTCTTCCATTCATCACTTTTCAAATCATTAACATAACCCGTCCCTTGGCAACTCCATGGTGGCACGAGAGAAGGATTGGCTACTGTCATTGACCCATGGCAACTCCATGGCGTCATTTGGGGCCCAGATAACTCAACCACACTAGGGCAGTCTCCCTAGTTCCCTCTATGTCATATTAACGCCACGGACCCTAGGCAACTCCTAGGCGATCGAGTTTTTCGCAAAAAACCCTTTTATCAAAACTTTTCCCTAAAACCCTTTTCTTTTCATTTCAAAACAATTTTCCCATTTCATTGCCCAATGCCATGCATGAGTGCATCATGCTTTTCCATGTCATGCCAATGTCCATTATCATACATTTTTTTCAAACTCAAATCATATAGCATAATTTACAAGAATTCCCAAAAGAAATACCATGCTTCCATATTTTGAAATTTAGCAATTTAAACACAATGATACTACTTAAGTATGCTAATTTACATAATATCAACTAATACACGTAGTCACATGCTTCATTTACAACATTTTAATCATTTTTAAACGAAATCAATACAATTTAGCATGCTAGATAACAATTCAAGTAGAAAAATTCACAAGTGCAAGAAATTGTGTATTAGAAATCCCTACCTCCACTTAGATGCAAAAACCTCCAATTTCCCGAAACCCAAGCCCTAATTTGAAATTTCAAGGTTGGCCAAAAGTGTAATTTGCTCCTATCAAAACGTAGATCTCAATGAGCTCTCTGATTTGCCACAAACCGCAAACAGCACCAACAAATTCTTAAAATTGAGAAAGTAATCTAGGATTGAAATTTGTGAAGAAAAGAAAAAGAAAAAGAAAAAGAGAAGAAAATAGAAGAAGAGAGAGCTTTACGGGGAGAGAGAAAAAGTGAGGCCAAAATGGCCTCTTGGCCACTAAATCATTTAAGTGGTAGGTCCCACCACTTAAAAAAAAATCCACCTTTTTACAATATATATATATATATATATATATATATGAGTGGTTATATATCTAATTTAATATTTTACTTGTTTTAAGGGGAAGCGCACAATAACTTAAAACAAGTAAAATATTAAATTAGATAAGGCGGTGTATAACCGACCAAGCATATATATAACAAAATAAATTAATTGAGGCGGTACATAACCGACCAAGATATGTATGTTTATAATAACAAAATAAATAACTGAATCAAACTTGTATTACTAAAATAATTACAACAGAATAGTAACTTACAAATTAATGTAACTGATAGAGATCTGAAAAATACAGCATATTGGTGATGTATTACACTCGGAAGGGGTAAATAAACAAGAACTGAATATTACAAATGG